CGCGTTTCTAGGGTGGTACCCTCTTCCTCGGTGCCAAACGCGTTTCTATGGTGGTACCCTCTTCATCGGTGCCAAATGCGTTTCTAGGGTGGTACCCTCTTCCTCAGAGCCAGTTTGGTACTACCCTCAAAGTTCCTCTTTAAGCTCAGGGTTCCACTTCCTGCACACTAAATCCACCAAGCCATGTCTTTATGGAGCTGCAAGGGAGGAAGTGTACAATTGTCTAAAATGTGTGAAATTTGGAGGGCTACACATATACTTTTGGCCATATAGTACAGGTGTGATGTTTGGATGTCCACAAACTTTCAACCATATAGTGTTATATTATTTTATGTATATATTATATCATATGAAGCTGCACACTGTTATGTTAAATTTAGATTATTATGCAGAAGTGCCCCCTGGGGAACATGTATCACTGGTTGAGATCCTAAGACGTAAGATGTAGGATATATATATAATTTTCAGGTCACCAGGCAGTCATCGTATTATCCAGGGCCAACGCAAAAAAAATACCCAGAGAAACCCAGAATTGTCAGATCCACTATGCTAAGAATAGCAGCGACATCTGTGCAACATCTTTTCGTAAGGCAGCCTGTAATCTCCTCTCCCCTCCGCTCCCCTCCCTTGCCAGACCCCATCCATCCCGTTATCCGCTCCGGAATCTCTACATTTCTCTTGTCTAAACCTGAGCAGAGCGTGATTAAGAAATCCCTCATTTGCCAAAGCAGCGGTAATGGCCCAAACGAGTCTCTGATTCCCTCTAATGCACTGATCTACGTAGTCTTTGGGGATTTAGAGGGATTGGCCTTTCCCTACCTCTTAGCTGGTCGTCTGCCATTGTCATCTCATGTGTGCTGTCCTAGTGCCCAAGATGAAATGCATTTTTATTTATTTTTATTTTTTTGCACAGCTGAAACACAATTTTTTACTTACATCTATACAGCTTTCTTTGGAGATGAAAAAAAAAAAAATCAGCTTCAGTAGAGCACTCCTTACTGTAAATGCCAAAATAAAGACAGATGTGACAAATATGATTTTGTGAGTTTTTTACTGCTCCTCCTCCGGATTTCATAGTTGAGGACTGAACCTGGAAAAAGTCCTCGGGATGCATTAGGAGCAGTTACATGGTTTGCTGATTATACGCTGTGCCATCAATTAGTATCATAGACAGGGGTCTTCAAACGTTCTGTACAAAGGGCCAGCTTACTGGCCTTCAGATTTTGAGGGGTCCAGACTGTGGACAGTTGAAGTAGATAATGCCCCAATGTCAGTTGGTATTAGTGGGAAGAATAGTGCCCCATCATTGGTATTAGTGGGAAGAATAGTGCCCAGTCATTGGTATTAGTGGGAAGAATAGTGCCCCATCATTGGTATTAGGGGGATAGTGAATAGTGCCCATCATTGGTATTAGTGGGAAGAATAGTGCCCTGTCATTGGTATTAATGGGAAGAATAGTGCCCCATCATTGATCTTAGTGGGAAGAATAGTGCCCCATCCCATCATTGGTTTTAGCGGGAAGAATAGTGCCCCACCATTGGTGTCAGTGGGGAGGAATAGTGCCCCACCATTGGTGTCAGTGGGAGGAATAATGTGCCAAGGGCCAGTTAAAGGCAAGCAAAGGGCCACTTCTGGCCTGTGGGCCACAGTTTTTAGACCACTGATATAGGAAAATGTGTTTCTAATCTATACACCAGAATGCCAAACATATGTGGACACTTGCCAAAATTGCAGAGTTCAGGTGCACCCTTCACCCTTGTGGTAACAGTTTGGTGAGGACCCTTTTCTGTTACAGCATGACTGTGCCCCTGTGGACAATGACAACTCCATAAAGACATGGTTGGCTGAATTTGGTGTGAAAGAACTCAAGTGGTCTGTACAGCACCAGATGAGCCAGGTCTTCTCCTCCATCCATACTGGATCTAAAAAAATTCTCATTTACCAGAATGTGCACAAATCCCACTGACGTCCTCCAAAACCTTGTGGAAAGCCCTACCAAAAGGATGGAGGTCACTGAAGCCACAAAGGGTGGCTATCTCTTATTAATGGGTTTGGAAAGGGATGTCAAACAAACCCATATTGGTGGCATGGTCCAGCCAGTTTAAAAAAAAAAAAAATTGCTGGTGGTGGTCTGTACATGTGATTACAGAGAGGGATATTCTTATCCGGTTGTCGCCAAGAGCACTCATATATGCAGCCTCTCGGTGTGTGGGCCTTGACACTGAAAGGCTGCATAATTGAGTACCCAAATGTAAAGTGAGTGCGTGCCCTGCTTGCTCCCAACACAGTTACCAGTGTCTAATGGAAGGCTCCTGATTGCTTCTTGCAATTGGGAGCTTTCCAATCATGTGGCAGCCAGTCATGGTGGTCACATGATCAGAAACCCCGCCTCCTGGCATCAGAAACCACTTAAAGGGCCAGGCGACATGGCATTAAGGGTTTTTTTTATCCATTTTGGGATAGAGTAAGGGAGGGTTATAACCCCTGTTCTATTTTTTGTCATCTGTGTCACATTGGATATGAGACAGCAAGTGAAGGGAAATCTCCCCAAACAGGAAGTGAGGAAATCTCTACAAATTAAGGGAATTCCTTGGGGCCCCCCAGGTCACCAGAACTAGTGTCCCCATTGGAAGATTTCCCCTCTATTACTGTTCTCTAAAGGAATATGTTTGCTCGGTACGTATACAGGCTCGGCCAGGGGCGGACTGACCATTTGGAAACTCGGGCACTGTCCGAGGGCCCGGGGTCAGTAGGGGGCCCCATGAGATGGCCCTGGTACCTTTTTCATAGGCTTTTTTGAGTTTGGTCAAGGACACAGGGGCCCCATGATCTTCTATTGCCCGGGGGCCCCATGAGTTGTCAGTCCGCCCCTGGGCTCGGAATCTTTGTTGTACTTTGCTAACTTCCTCTAATCTCAATGCTAGGAAGGGTCTGTTCTAGTATACTCCATGGATATGAAACAACCACAATGCTCATCACAGCCAGACACAGGATGGACCAGCACAGTAAAGCATGCTTTACTGCATATACAGACTGATTTTAATATTGTGGGTTTACTAACACTTTAAGGTTAAAAAAAAAAAAAATCTGAGGCGCTGTCCTCCATAGTAATTAATTTTCACCACTAGATGTCGTCCAAGTTCAAAGCCAGCCAGCGTTACTTACTCCACCTCCTCTGAGCCCAGGGTGTCATGGACCCGCCCCCTAGGGATGTGTCGTCCTGGCAGCCTGTGCACGCTGTATTACTGCAGTGAACAGTGAAGCATAGAAAAGTGTCGGCAGCAAAAAAAAAAGAGTGGTTCATCAAGTCCGCCCATTTTTTTTAAACTTCTTTTGTGTTTTTTTTTTTGTTTTTTTTTTTCTAGGGGATTATTTGAGTTCGCTTTTTTTTGAGTATAGACGTATGCTTGTCCCAAGCATGTTTTATGCTGTTTACTGCCTCTCCTTGAAGCCGTTGTGTCTTTGAGCCAAACGTCTGCTGAAATAAGGGCCAGTTCACACGACGTACATTTCAGTTGCTTTTTTTTTTCTGCATCCAAAACGCACAGAAAGTAGGTGATATGGTTGTCAATGTCATAGTTCACATCAGTGCTTGCAGTTCCAGTGTGTTCCGGTTGAAAAAAAAAAGTAGAACAGGCAGCATTTTTCCTGCATGGAACTGTACTGGAATGCGCCAAAAACGCTCTGGAACACGCCAAAAACGCACTGGAACGCACCTGTCCCTAATTTAAATTGAAAAAAGAAAAACTGAAAAAGGGGGGAAATTAACTGGACCGCGTCAAAAACGCTCATGCAGAACGCATCAGGACTGCGCTTCTATAGTGTGAACCGGCCCTAAAGGTATGAATGCTTTTATTTATTTTAATTCGCTGCAGTGGGGGAAGACGGGCAGGTTTTTTCTATATAAACATAGAGTTCTGTAAATCTTTAAGAACATAAAATAGATTTTCATCGTACTTTCCCCTTTAAACAATAAACCAATACCATCATCCCAGCACAGTCTTTACCTTTCCTAACCCCCTCCCTCGCAGTTGCTAACCTCCAGGTACACTTTTTGTATGTTCACAGTGGAGCTATTGTCGTGGGAGGGAGGGAATACACAACCCATTGTATAGGTAGAAGAATGGGGCAGAATTCCATAGTTGTGTTAAAAAAAAAAAAAAAAAAAAAATTCAGTACGCCCCCACAGCTGGGAACTTGCTGCAGCTGCCTGTACTGTCCTCCCCCTAGCCGGGACCCTGCTGCCTATGTAGCTGTAACCCTGACTATTTAGTCTTTGCAGCTCACCCACTGATAGTTTTATTTTTTTTTTTTTTGTGTTTTTTTTTTTTTTGAAGCCTTACAGAAGCTCAAAAAAAAAAAATATATATATATATATATATATATAAATATATATATATATATATATATATATATATATTTATTTTATTCCCCCCCCCAACTTTCGCGTGCGTGGGCTGCAGAGAGAAAGAAGAGAAAAGCTCTGGTATAGCTGCATGACTCAGACATGCAGGGGCTTTTGTTAGGAAAACTGCGGCATTGCACAAGAGTGCCTTTCTTTGTTGAGACATTTGCGGAGAACAGTCACTTATCTGTTGATCATGGCTCTTCTCCCAGAATCCTCGGCTTCTTTCACAGTCCTCTTCAAGCAGCAAGTCTTTTGCACCTGGCTTACCTGTTGATGACCATCTACCACAAAAAGTGCTCTGTATGGCCACCATCGCCCTCGGCTGCACAAAGCCCACCTGGATATTTAGTTTAAAGTGTTCCTAAACCCACAACAGTATAATCAGTCTGTATATGCAGGAAAGCGTTCTTGCTATCCTCACTGTGGAACCTAAGGGGTTAATCTTTTGCATTGTGTAATGCATTGTGTGATCCTGACTTCTCTGATCCTCCCCTTCAATTGTTCCCCTCTAATCTCTTCTGGTAAGTTTGTTGCTGTAAACATGTGTGACCTGTTGAATTACTGAATAACAATTTTTTTTTTTCTCTTAAAGGATCAAACATGCAAATATTGTGTCGCTGGAGGACATCTATGAAAGCCGCAGTCACCTTTACCTCATAATGCAACTGTAAGTATGCAGGAGCAGTGACAAAAACCATTGTGCTGTAACTCAGGACAGCCAATCAGGATGGGAAACCCGCATGCTAGGGGTTACTTCACTTTTCTGAGCTGGTGCTCTTTGCACTACACCAGTGGTCTCCAAACTGTGGGACAGATGCGGCCCTTTGCTTGCTTTTATCCGGCCCTTTGGCCATTATTCCCCCCCACCATCAGCAACAGTGGGGCATAGTTCTCACCGCTGACACCAATGATGGGGCATTATTCCTCCCACTGACACCAATGATGGGGCATTGTTCCTCCCACTGACACCAATGATGGAGCACTATTCCTCCCACTGACCCTAATGATGGGGCACTATTCCTCCCACTGATACCAATGATGGGGCATTATTCCTCCCACTGACACCAATGATGGGGCATTGTTCCTCCCACTGACACCAATGATGGGGCATTGTTCCTCCCACTGACACCAATGATGGGGCATTGTTCCTCCCACTGACACCAATGATGGGGCATTGTTCCTCCCACTGACACCAATGATGGGGCATTGTTCCTCCCACTGACACCAATGATGGGGCATTGTTCCTCCCACTGACACCAATGATGGGGCATTGTTCCTCCCACTGACACCAATGATGGGGCATTGTTCCTCCCACTGACACCAATGATGGGGCATTATTTCCTCCCACTGACTGACCCTAATGATGGGGCACTATTTCTTCCACTGACACCAATAATGGGGCATTATTCCTCCCACTGACACCAATAATGGGGCATTATTCCTCCCACTGACACCAATGATGGGGCATTATTCCTCCCACTGACACCAATGATGGGGCATTGTTCCTCCCACTGACCCTAATGATGGGGCACTATTCCTCCCACTGACCCTAATGATAGGGCACTATTCCTTCCACTGACACCAATGATGGGGCACTATTCCTCCACTGAACCAATGATGGGGCATTATTCCTCCCACTGAAACCAATGATGGGGCACTATTCCTCCACTGAAACCAATGATGGGGCACTATTCCTCCTACTGACACCAATGATGGGGCACTATTCCTCCTACTGACACCAATGATGGGGCACTATTCCTCCTACTGACACCAATGATGGGACACTATTCCTCCTACTGACACCAATGATGGGACACTATTCCTCCTACTGACACCAATGATGGGACACTATTCCTCCTACTGACACCAATGATGGGACACTAATGACACCAATGATGGGACACTATTCCTCCTACTGACACCAATGATGGGACACTATTCCTCCTACTGGGACACCAATGATGGGACACTATTCCTCCTACTGACACCAATGACGGGGCACTATTCCTCCCATTGATACCAGTGATGGGGAACTATATTGTGCGTTAATACAAATGATGATACATTGTTTACTCCCACTGATGCCGGGACATTTTCTTCTCCCACTGGCCACAGTCTGGCCCCCCTAAAATCTGAAGGACAATAAACTGGCCCTTTGTTTATAAAGTTTGGAGATCCCTGCACTATACTATAAAAATTTGTTTTTATGTGTATTTGTAGTGCACCAGTGCCCCCTGTTGGCAGTCAGTGGTTATCAAAAAAAGCATTTCAATTTAATTTAAAGCATAAATGTTAGTGTGTATATATATATATATATAAAAGCCTCCGCCCCCATTAAACATGATTATGTACTCAAAATATAAAAGCTGAACTCCAGACAGGTATAAATGACAGAAATGAATACAGTTCTATTTCCATTATTACATGTATTTTATTATGCTAGGAGTGTAAGTACCTGAATCTGGCTTGGTGTCAGTCTTTTGCAAATCCCTGTACAGCAAAGCTCAGAATGGTGGAGGAAGAAGCAACACAAGGAGTGACTTAGATGTGCTGTAGTGTTAATGTGCTAACCAGGGACATGCTGACAGGAGAGCAGAGAGATGAGCTCAGTAGTCTGCTGCAGTTCACTATCACTTTTAGGTCTTGTCCCTCCTCCTCCCTGTGACTGGACAGTGAAAGGAGAAGCAGCAGAGAAAAATAAAGTCTAACCTGCTAGACACAGCTGTACAGTGTGGCAAAGCTGTGTAAATCTCTGGACTGCATGCATAGATCCTTTTGGCAGTTAAAAAATCTCACGTATATTTAATCTGTGTATTTAGCTATTTGCCTGGAGTTCAGCTTTTTCCCTTTAATGTCTTACCAACCTAGATTGTAGTGCTACAGCCTGATGCTTTGATTGGATAGTCCATGCAGTCAAACTGGTGGTTCTTCTGTATTTAGTGAATGTCAATATCATTGTATGTGGACTAGATAGAGATACAGTGTGCGTATATGTACAGTTGGGTCCATATATATATTTGGACACGGGCACAATTTTAGATTGTTTTCAGGTATTTACCAAAACATAGTCAAGCTATAGTTTTATATAATGGATATGGGCTGAATGTGCACACTCTCAGGTTTAATTTGAGGGTATGTACATCCATATTGGAGAAAGGCTTTAGAAATTACAGCTCTTAATAGCCATCCCCCCTTTTTCAAGGGACCAAAAGTGTTTGGACAATTGAATCAAAAGCTGTTTCATGGCCAGGAGAGCTACTCCTTCGTTATTTCTTCATCAATTAGGCAGGTAAAAGGTCTGGAGTTGATTCTAAGTGTGGTATTTGCATTTGGAATCTCTTGCTGTAAACCTACATCATGCATTCAAAGGAGCTGTCCATGCAAGTGAAACCGGCCATTGTAGGGCTTCAAAAATGAAACAAATCCATCAGAGCGATAGCAGCAACATTAGGAGAGGCCAAATCAACAGTTTGGTACATTCTGAGGAAAGAAGAACACACTGGTGAGCTCAGCAACATAAAAAGGCATGGATGTCCACGGAAGACAACAGTGGTGGATGATCGCAGGATCCTCTCTATGGTAAAGAAAAACCCATTCACAACATCCAGACAAGTGGAGGACACTCTCCAGGAGGTGGGCGTATCACTGTCAAAGTTTACAATCAAGAGAAGGCTTCACAAGAGCAAATACAGAGGGTTCACCACAAGGTACAAACCATTCATAAGCCTGAAGAATAGAAAAGCCAGATTAGACTTTGCGTAAAAAGCATCTAAAAAAGCCAGAGCAGTTCTAGAAAAGCATTCTTTGGACGGATGAAACGAAGATTAATCTGTACCAGAATGACGGGAAGAAAAAAGTGTGGAGACGGCTTGGAGCAGCTCATGATCCAAACCACACAACGTCCTCTGTAAAACATGGTGGAGGCAGTGTGATGGCATGGGCATGCATGGCTTCCAGTGGGACTGGGTCATTGGTGTTTATTGATAAGACAGAAGCAGCCAGATTAATCCTGCAGTGTTTAGTGATATACGGTCAGCCCAGATTCAGCCAAATGCAGCAAAGTTGATTGGATGGTGCTTCCCAGTACAGATGGACCATGATGCAAAACACACTGCAAAAGCAACCCAGGAGATTTTGAAGGAAAAGTGGAAGATTCTGCAATGGCCAAGTCACTCAACTGATCAACCCAATTGAGTATGCATTTCACTTGCTGAAGGCAGGAAGACCCACAAAGAACTGGAGACCGCTTCAGTTAGAGCCTGGCAAAGCATCAGAAAGGAGGAAACCCAGTCTTTGGTAATGTCCATGGGTTCCAGACATCAAGCAACTGAAGACATAGTGGACAGAGATCTAGGTCTTCGGTTGTTCTATCACTGGGTCAAGGGGCACCTACTGGGTTAGCCAACCATCAAGAACAGGCCAATAACCAATGGTGATTCATGGTTGGCTTTTCTACCCAGGGTTTGGCACCTTCTTTGTACTGTAAAAGTGACCAGGGGGCTGTACAGCCATTGAAATCACTTTTACGTGACAGCCGACCTTCAGCTAAAACAGAAAAAAAAAATACCAAACTTGTGGCTGCTGCAGTCATTTTTGACCCCTTGAATACCAAGATATTTATAAACGTACCATGGCAGACAAGGGGCTAAATGGCCATTCTTGAGCACCAGTGACTTTTCCTAGGCTGAGAATTGTCATCCCTTTGCTGCAGACAGGAGGAAGCATTTCCTCAGTCTTCTCTCTCCAAGTGATTAGTCTTTAACATTGTACGTTTTTAGCAAGTCGCAAGGTGAGAGACTGCAGCAGGGGCTAATTTTTGTCAGACATTTAAGACCACAGCTAAGAACTGCACAAGCACTCCTTTTTAAGCCATCATCTCGGCCCAGGAAGTAGATGATAACCTTTGATGATGCCTGAATAAAAATGGCTCTGTCCTTCTAGACAGAAAAAAATCAGCTGAAGGCACTGTCAGGGGGGAGTATTGCGAGAGGTTATTATTAATACCGGAAAGTGTTATTCATGCATTACTTAGCATGCATGAACCTATCTATTATGAGAAATATATCTGATAGGTCCACTTATAGCATATATCACTGTTCTAGAATGCTATAAATGACCTGGTATTACCTTGTTGCAGGGTGTCTGGTGGGGAACTGTTTGACAGGATTGTAGAAAAAGGCTTCTACACGGAAAAAGACGCCAGTCAGCTTATTAAACAGATCCTGGATGCTGTGAAGTATCTGCACGACATGGGGATTGTACACCGGGATCTGAAGGTGAGATGAGTCTTTTTTTTTTTTTTTTTTATTAAAGTTGTACTCCAGGCAAGCAGCTCACTACAGAATTGAAATGCATGAAACTGATCTGTCCTGCCTGTGTAAAGAGTTGTAATTCTGTGCAGCTAGTCTCGTGATCCAGACAGCACAGCCAGGTATATGATGCCTGTGACGGAAGGTAGGCAGGACAGAACACACAGAGTAGATGGCAAACGCACAAAGCTTTATTGAGAAAAAAACAGATGACAGTCACTGAATAGGGGAGTTCACAGGGAGAGGGAATACGCCAGTACAGGGTGACAAGGAGGGACCAACACAGTTAAAGTCCAACACCAAGATCCAAGGAAGAGTCTCTGTAGCAATTGTAATCCAACAGGGGGGTTGGTGTGAGGTCAGCACAGGAACAGTTCAAGTGAAGCAGGGAGAGAGCATGTAGTCATGGATCCCCGGTGTCTAGCAGACAGTCTTCCCCAGCTCTGGGGGGGGGGGGGGGGTCCTAGGCAGCCTTGGGTCTCTGCTGAGCCTGGCCACGAAAGGTCCCAGCCGCAGCTCGGGCTTCTTCCGTCAGCTGCACCTCCGGAGCCCTGGCATCAGCTTCTTAAAACTGATGTTGGACCCCCTAGTCACCTAGGCAATCGGGGGGGGGGCAGAGCTGGCATGGCTCCAGCTTGTCTTAGGAATGCCTTTCATCTTTGCAGGAGGGGAGAGGGGCCCATTCAAAAAGCCGGGAGAGCAGGGACAGAGCAAGGGGGCTGAGAGGGGAAAGCAGCTGCAACAATGCCCCTATTTCCTGGGTCCTCTTTGGAGCTTCTGCAGTCATCTTTCTCTGTCCAGCCAGCATTATAAGCTCTAGCCAATGACTTTGAGAATGATTTTCTTATTAATCTACACTCAGTACCCCATAATGACAAAGTGAACACAGAATTTTAGAAATGTCTGTGAATTCATTACACATAAAAACTGAAATATCACATTGGCATAAGGATTCAAAACCTTTGCAACAACACTTGAAATTCAGCTCAGGTTCCCTTCCATTTCTCTTGATCATTGCTGAGATGTTTCTACACCTTGATTGGAGTCCACCTGTGGTAAATTACATTGATTGGATGTGATTTGGAAAGGCACACACCTGGCTCGGTTGACACTGTGCGTTTTGGTTGCGGGAATCACATCGGATTCCACAACCACCCGCAGCGCATTTGCTGGTGCAGGAACCTCAGGGAAATCGTATGGTCAAAAGGACCATGCAATCTCCCTCCCTGCATTTTTGAAAGTGTAGTGTGTGTGTGTGTGTGTGTAATGTGTGTGTGTATATAATGTATGTGTGTATGTATATAATGTGTGTATATGTGTGTGTGTATATATATATATATATATATATATATAGTGTGTGTGTATATATGTGTGTGTGTATGTGTGTGTGTATATATATATATATATATATATATATATATATATATATATATATGATGTGTGTGTGTATGTGTGTGTGTGTGTATATGTATAGATAGATATAGATTTTTCAGCAGAAGAGTAAATGAAACAGAGATGTCACTCAGTCATTCAATCTCTTGGATCCTAGAGGCATTAATATAGACAGCTCGGCTGTGACAGACTAGTTAATCTCATGAGCTTTGTCTGTGACAGGAGATCCCAGCTCCCAGCACTGTTCCAATTAATGCGTGCCAGAGCAAAATTTAGTATCCATGCCTTGTATCGCTGCAGAGGAAAAGCTGCCAAGGACTCCTCCAGATCCAACACCGCAGGGAAGACTTGTGTTGTAAACTACATGTGTAAGGACACCAGAAAGCAAAATTAGATGAACTAAAAGCCCTTTCTACCTTCTGATGACTCAAATCCGTTGGATAATCATGTTCTCTCAGATTTTACAAAATACACTTCCTTTCATTTGTGTGTTTTTTATTTTGTTTTTTTTGTGGTTCGTTGGTTTCCTTTGCCCTTGTGCTGTCTGTATAAAATGTTATTGGATATACACCATATGGCCAAAGTATTGGGACATCCCCCAAATTATTAAAGTTATAGAAAAGGTTCATTTTTGGGTTTTTCTTTTTTTTCCCCCTTGTTGACAAGTTTAGTTATTTGTGTCTATAAACACCCAATGCAACTCAACTCCATTTCCTATAGTGAAAAATGAGCATGTCCTCTGTTTAAGCGCAAGCTTGACCCACCAAGTGCAAGCTTGACCCACCTCATACACGTGAATTGTACGTTTATGTGAATACGCTGTATCCCCTGTATGGGTGTTTTTTTTGTGTGTTTAAAGCCTTAAAATTCAATAAAAGATGTTGAAACAGAAAAAAAGGAAAGCATGTACAAAGCAAGTGATACATAAAACTCTACTTTGCCTCAGTACTTCTAAAATGAAGGGACACTTACAAATCCCACACCTTCCACCAATGCAGTGCTTATGCAGGCCATATATGGGTCAAATTCTGAACGAATTTTCTTTAGAAAATCAGGTTTTGTGCGCTTTTTAATGCAATGTTGCCACCATTGATTTCAAAATTTGATCAAGCCTTCAATTTCACATAGAAATTTCTAAAGAAAAGAATTTTCATGGCTGGGAATCTTCTTTTCTTTCCAGGTGACAGCTCCATTCTTTTTTGATTATATTTATCGCACGATTCTCACATCATTGGTTAGAAATTACTTTTTTTCAAAAAATTTCCAACATGCACGATCACTCAAATTTGATGGCTGCACAAAAATTGGCCGATGCTGTGACCCACTAATGGTGCAAAATTCAAACGAAAATTCTTAGTTACGATTTTCGAAAACAAATTACATCAGAATTCAACCCATGTATGGCCTGCATTAGTGTCTGAATAGCTATACCTGGGGGACAGAGGATTTAGGGCATACACCTCCCACCCTGTCTAAATTTTGACTGGCTCTAGAGGTACACAGGGGCATCCAACAGTCTGGTACTAGATCAGGAAGAACAGAGTGGAAACAATTAGTCTATGTTTATGGTTCCATCTTTAAAGTTGACCAGTTACTTGTCTGGTATTTTCAAGGTACAAGTTCACTTTAAAAGGACGCTATTGTGTGACATTTATCTGAAAGTTATATTGTAACCATTTTTGGTGTAATTTTACCTATTTACATTTCCATATTTTGATCCTTTGTATCTCATTTGCAAATGTTCCCACACTGTATCTGGGAATATGATTTACATTAGCAGTTCAATGATTTACTCATTGGATTGCTCATAATACTGTGTAAGCTGAATTGATTAATGGTTTGTCCCACTCTATTGTCCTTTCCGCCCTACAGCCAGAGAATTTGTTGTACTACAGTCTGGATGAAGATTCCAAAATCATGATCAGCGATTTTGGCCTCTCCAAGATAGAGGGATCTGGAAGTGTCATGTCCACGGCCTGTGGGACACCTGGATATGTAGGTCAGTGTGCTCAGTATGGTGGTCCTAGAGTGGTGTGCTAGGTGTACCACCATTGGCTTCTCTTCTCAGGTAGTTGATACAGATAGATGTTCTCCGGTAGTGGTTTTCCCAGCTGGTTGGCCTTGGCCAGAAAACACGTGACCTCACAGCTGCAGTCTTTACACCCGAAGTCAATGTCATTTCACTGTGACTGACAACATTCCACCATTTACTTTTGAATGAACAGAAGGAATGCAACAGCCAGCCTTTCCTGATGTCCAATAAAGCTCTCGTGGTGACCGTAATAAGGACAATCTGGGGCTTCAACCCTAAAACCAATTTACCGTAATACCTTTCTGTAGATATGCAGCAGATAGATGATTAGAATCTATGGAAATAAAAAAAAAAAATAGGTAATTGTTTGACTTTGTATCCATTTTAACTGCAAAGAGTCAGAGACCTTAAGGCAGTATTATAGGTTCATGTTTTTTTTTTTTTTCCTTAAAATGACAAACCTGTGAGTCTTACCTGCTCTGTGCAATTTGCACCGAGCAGCCCAGATCCTCTTCTCTAGAGTCCCCCGCTGGTGCTCTGGGCTCCTCCCCCACCTTTGAGTACCCCATCCCCCAGCAAACCGTTTTCTGGGGGGGATACTCATGCGGGCTTGCTCCCAAGCCACACTGTGTGCGCCTATTGACTCATAGTGTGGGAGGGCCCTGCCCCCCCTCGTTTTCATACTGGTGAATGCAGTAGGAGGGTAACCAGTGGGGGAGACCTGATAGATATATATAGTTTTGTGACTGCTAAGAAAGTATTTAGCAGGGTCCATGTTGTGTGGGGGAGACCAGGATATAGTGAATGCAGGGTCCGGGGAGACCGGATATAGTGAATGCAGGGTCCGGGGGAGACCGGATATAGTGAATGCAGGGTCCGGGGGAGACCGGATATATAGTGGGAGAATGCAGGGTCCGGGGGAGACCAGAGATATATGACTGCAGTCCAGGGAGACCAGATATAGTGACTGCAGGGTCCAGGGAGACCAGATATAGTGACTGCAGGGTCCAGGGAGACCAGATATAGTGACTGCAGGGTCCGGGGAGACCGGATAAGTGACTGCGGGGTCCGGGGGAGACCGGATTATAGTGAAGCGGGGTCCGGGGGAGCGTGAATCCACCACCTACCTCGGGGGAGAATAAAATTCAGTTAAAAATGGACTTCGCTGGGTGGAAAATTGAATCGGGGCCACTTTAAGGGACACTGCAGAGCGGTCGGAGCGAACCTCCTCAATAAAATTCAGTTCAAAAATACTTCTATCGGCACAGAATCCTATCAGATACTGGCACATTCTGATATTCACAAGTGCCAATTGCCTTAATGCCACACATACAATGCAATGAGAGCGCCAAAAAACATTAAGGAGTTGAATGTGATTTGAATACTAAAACTGATTTATAGCAAAATACAGCCAACGTGCTCCTGGGGCCAAATACACTCCCCCCCCATCATTAGGGCCAGAAATGGAATCCACGTCATCAAGCATCAACTGATGCCGATGAAGGGGGAGAGGTGTGATTGTCCCTTTTCTGCATTAGTCAAGTTGGACTAATTGGACTCTTGGATATTGTTTGGCACTCTCATTGGATTGTATGTGTGTCCATTCCCAACTTTGGGTCCCTTCCACAGGCTGGCTCCAGTTTTCTGCAGTATTGCCAAACCAGAGTCCGTGTGCCCAGTGACCTTTTCGGTGACCCTTCAAAAATCCAAATACGGTGCCCTTTTTTTTTTTTTTCTTGTGTTTAAATGCAAATGTCGGCAGTGGAGATTTCTCTATCCATGCTATCAGTGTAGATTGGGCTTAACCAGAGAAAATCAAGGCATGTATGGCCAACTTTATAAATCTGTTTTAAACACGTGCAATTTTTCTTTCAGCTCCCGAGGTTTTAGCTCAGAAGCCGTACAGTAAAGCGGTGGATTGCTGGTCGATTGGCGTCATAGATACATCCTGTAAGTAATACGTTTATTTAACCCAAATCATTTGCTTATGTCCGGAAAAGCCATACAACCCAGAGATATGACACACTATTCTCAAGATTGTTTGAGGGCCAGTCTACTCCCGATATAGCTGATCCCAGCCACAGTTTTTGGCTGCATGGCAAATCCCAGGATTTTGCCAGGTCAGGCCAGAGCTATTACATACTATTCTCAAGATTGTTTGTGGCTGGGATCAGCTATATGGGAAGTAGACCAGCCTTCAGTTTTTGGCTGCATGGCACATCCTAGGATATTGTCAGGTCAGAGCTATGCCCGACTATTTTCAAGATTGTTTGAGGGCCGGTCTACTTCCCACATAGCTGATCCCAGGCACAGTTTTTGGTTTCATGGCACCTCCCAGGCCTTTATTGTCAGGTCAGAGAGTCACATGTGTTAAAGCCAATTGTGCTTTAACATGGAGCTTTTGAATCCAGATACACCATTAGAATTAAGCATGGCTGAACATTACTTTTTACGAACTGAAATTAGTTTGCTACCCTATCAAGAAAAATTATTAATGTAGAATAACAAGCTAAGAAAGAGCCTGCTTGTGTTTTTTTTTCTGACATCTCCTGGCTGAAACATTAAGCTGGCCACACACTGATTGAAATTTGGCCAGTAAAGCATAGACCAGCCAAATTGCAAGCAATCTGTGACATCACCGCTTTACAGAAGTCAATTATTTGGTCAACTTCTGCTGAAGAGACAAGTTAGAAAATGTTTCTTGATCAGCCACTGCAGCCAATCTGCTGTGGCCGATGGTCATCGTATTCTGACAGTGGTGGGGTCCTGCTGTCAGAGTACAATGTCCCAAGGGGGGATTCCTCTATCCACCTTGTTTTATGCAACCTTTTGTTTTTATTTTGTTTTATTTTTTTTATTGTGTTTTGGGTAGAGCAAGTTAACCTTTTGAAAAAAAACCCAAAAAAACCTAATGCACATTTTTGCAGATAAAAAAAAAAAAAATTGTCCATTTATTTATTTTTTTTCTAAGGAGCCTGCAGAGCGCTCAACCCTGCAATCTCCAGCTCTCACCATAGCTAACAGTGAGCTATGTACTGTTCTGCCTACAGTCTTTTCCACACAGGTCCTTGAATTTTCAGATTGAAGTATGTCAGGTATGAGGCTGCTGACAGGGTAACCCACAGGTTGTATTTCGCCCGATTAATCAGGCTAGCCGTCCCATAACTGCTCATTCACACCAGCCCATAGTATTTTACTGAGTCGGCTGGTGTCTGTGTACCAGCAGGGGGCAGTATGATGCACTGTTGAAACATCACGCTGTTTACATTTTTTTTTTTTTTTTATACTTTTATCGATGTGTCAAGATATGTCATTAAAACTTTGGTGACACAGCCAATAAGACGCATTTCACAGGGATTGTACACCTTCTCAACACCATTTAAAACTAGAAAAGGGTTTTAGTTGGAGTTACACTAAGAGCATTTTGTTATCTTTTTGAGTTGTTTTTGTAGTCTAGGTTGGCCATAGATGGATTGAAATTTAGCTGGTTCAGCAGGAACTGGACTAATTTCGATCCCTCTTTGGGCAGACTGATTGTACTGAATTCGATCCATCGATCTGTTTTTGTTTTTTTTTGGTTTTTTTTTTTCTTTTGATCACTGCCAGTGGCTATAGCCGCCAGCAGCGATCATTGTTTTCTGACAGCGGGGAAACCACCTGCTGTCAGAATACAGTGGCACAGCGGGAGTGTCCTGAACTCCTATCTGTTTTTTTTTTTTTTGTTTTTTTTTTTTGTTTTTTTGTTTTGTTTTTTTTCGTTTGATCACTGCAAACGACTATAGCCGCTGGCAGTGATCATTCTATTGTGACAGCGGGGAAACCTTCCACTGTCAGAATACAACTGTGGTTGAAGGAAAGAAAAATTGCATAACGTATGGCCAGCCTAACACTGCTAATTGGGGGATGGTAAAAACAGGCGATTGAGCTGTGTTTTACTGCCCCCTTTAAATGGCAGCAGGGCAGAGATGTTTATTTGTTGTGGCCGTGATTTTTTTTTTTTTTTTTGCAGCGCAGTGAGAATTATACCCTGTTTGTGTGTTTTCTGTTTAGGTGAATTGGGGCCATGTCACAGCTGCCCTGCAACCGCAGTTGCGGCACAGTGGTGTTGGCTTTTAGAGGTTAAAACAGGAGTTGAGGGGGCAGAATCGCCTCCTCACCTCCTGTCAAACCGTTCCAGAAATCAATCCACTATGGAATTTTAGAGGTTCAGAAATACATGACCTTTTAGGGACTTGGTCATTTTGGTCAATTTTTAATGACATTCTTTTGGTATGAAGTCAGCTAAGGTAACTTTATACACTCACCGGCCACTTTATTAGGTACACCTGTTCAATTGCTTGTTAACAGAAATTGCTAATCCGCCAATCACATGGCAGCAACTCAATGCATTTAGGCATCTAGACGTGGTGAAGACAACTTGCTGATGTTCAAACGAGCATCAGAAAGGGAAAGAAAGGGGATTTAAGTGACTTTGGACATGGCATGGTTGCTGATGCCAGACGGGTGGTCTGAGTATTTCAAAAACTGCTGTTCTACTGGGATTTTCATGCACAACCATCTCTAGGGTTTACATAGAATGGTCCGAAAAAGAGAATATCCAGTGAGCGGCAGTTGTGTGGAGGAAAATGCCTTGTTGATGTCAGAGGAGAATGGGCAGACTGGTTCGATATCATGGAAAAACAGTAACTCATGTCATTATGGACCAAAATCTGAGGAATGTTTCCAACATCTTGTTGAATCTATGCCATGAAGAATTAAGGCAGTTCTGAAGGCAAAAGGAGGTTCAACCCGGTAATGGCAAGCTGTACCTAATAAAGTGGCCATAGAGTATGTATTTTATTGGTGTGCTCTGGGGTATCTTGTGATAGACTAAAAAATGCCGGCATCCCTATTATAGCATCTGACATTCTTTTTCTCTCGGCAGACTATGCGGTTACCCCCCTTTCTATGATGAAAATGATGCCAAACTCTTTGAACAGATTTTGAAAGCAGAATACGAGTTTGATTCTCCATACTGGGATGACATTTCTGACTCGGGTAAGGAACCATAATAAAGCAATATACCCTTTTAGATTGTAAGCTCTTAAGAGCAGGACCCTCTTGTATTTTATTGTATCGGAACTGTACTGTCTCCCTTTATATCATAAGTCGCTGTGCAAACTATTGGCACCATGTAAATCTTATATAATATTAATAATATACTTTAGTTGCAATGTTTTTCATTCACAATTGGGAGCGGTTTTTAATAACTGCTACTAAAGTCTTATTTTAATTAAAAGAACAAAAAAAAAGCAAATATGTTATACTCACCTGCTCTGTGCAATGGTATCGCACAGAGGAGCCCCCGATTTTCCTCTTCTCAGGTCCCCCACAAGTACTCGTGGCTCTTTTCCCCTTTGAGTACCCTCCCAGCAAACCACTTGCTAGGGGGGATACTTGTGTGGACTCAATACCAAGCCACACTGTGTGTGTTTATGGACACCCATAGTGTCACTGGGCCCTGCCCCCCACTCCCTTGTCACTGGATTTGATTTATTTTTGAGTCCAGTAAGGAGGGAGAGAGCATCTCAGCTGCTCCTGTGCACAATGCTGGACCTGAGATCGGCTCAGGTAAGTACTTAGGTGGGGGTTTACCTTTTATGTACAGAATGAAATAATGCAATAAGGAAAAAAAATGTAGCTTTTAAAACCACTTTAAACCCAAAAGGAAACATCTGTTATATTGCAACTTACCAATTCTTTGCCACTTGCTATGGAGGCACACGGTGTCTGCTCACTCCTATGCTGTATGTCTATGGAGCTGCGCTCCATAGACGCACACAGCGGGACTTAGCCCCGCCCCCACTTCCTCTTCCAATGCATTCGATTAACAGCAGCAAGTGTTTGAGTCCTCGTGTGAAGAGAAAGAGAGGAGAAGAGATGCAGCCCTGCACAGCACTGGATCTCTTCTTCCCTCTCTTCCCTTCACACAGGGAAGGGGGGAGGCTCAGAAATAGAAAATGTATTCTTTGCATTAAGGTAAAAAACGGGGGGGGGGGGGGGGGGGGGGGGGTGGAGACCTGGGGGGTGGAGACCTGCTTCCGATCGCCTAGGCCAGTGATGAAGAACTTTGTAGAGGCCGAGTACCCAATCTGCAATCCAAAACCCACTTATTTATCACTAAGTGCCAACACTGCAATCCTGAATACTGAGGTTTTAGGTCAGAAAAAACAACTTACATTAATAATAACAGAGCTTCCACTGCCACCAGCACAAGGGGGGGGGGGGCAAAGTTCCACTGACCACCAGCACAAGGGGGGGCAAAGTTCCACTGACCACTAGCACAAGGGGGGGCAAAGTTCCACTGACCACCAGCACAAGGGGGGGCAAAGTTCCACTGACCACCAGCACAAGGGGGTGCAAGGTTCCACTGACCACCAGCACAAGGGGGTGCAAGGTTCCACTGACCACCAGCACAAGGGGGTGCAAGGTTCCACTGACCACCAGCACAAGGGGGGGCAAGGTTCCACTGACCACCAGCACAAGGGGGGGCAAAGGTTCCACTGACCACTAGCACAAGGGGGGGCAAAGTTCCACTGACCACCAGCACAAGGGGGGGCAAGGTTCCACTGACCACTAGCACAAGGGGGGGCAAGGTTCCACTGACCACCAGCACAAGGGGGGGCAAGGTTCCACTGACCACCAGCACAAGGGGGGGCAAGGTTCCACTGACCACCAGCACAAGGGGGGCAAGGTTCCACTGACCACCAGCACAAGGGGGGCAAGGTTCCACTGACCACCAGCACAAGGGGGGGCAAAGTTCCACTGACCACCAGCACAAGGGGGGGCAAAGTTCCACTGACCACCAGCACAAGGGGGGGGGGCAAAGTTCCACTGACCACCAGCACAAGGAGGGGCAAAGTTCCACTGACCACCAGCACAGGGGGGGGCAAGGTTCCACTGACCACCAGCACAAGGGGGGGGGGCAAAGTTCCACTGACCACCAGCACAAAGGGGGGGGCAAAGTTCCACTGACCACCAGCACACAAGGGGGGGGCAAAGTTCCACTGACCACCAGCACAAGGAGGGGCAAAGTTCCACTGACCACCAGCACAAGCTAAAATCTTGTGTTTAATAAAAATGTATTAAAACTTACAGCCAGTCCAATGTCTATCTATCTCCTTGGCAGCGCACTGGCCAAGCGAAAGCTCAGTTGAGTTGCGGCTCATGATATCCTCACCTTCCGCCGCTACTGCTTTCCAAGCATGCGCATGGCCCCTATGTGTGTTATCCGATGCTTGGCTGCTGGGGCAACTTGCTCGCATGCTGACAGAGAGGGCACGTGCCATAGGTTTGCCACCACTAGCCTAGGCAGTCGGAGTGGGAGTAGGTACCTATCCCCAAAGGTGCCAATTCTTCATGGGGGAGTGGGGGCACCAGTTCTTAAAGCGGAACTTCCCCTTTTGGGATGGAGGATTTTCTGGATGTAGCACACAATTTGTGATTATTAGTCTTTTGTTAGACGTTTAAATACAAAACCCTTCCATAGACCTTGTCGCATTCTAGCAATGAATGATCTATTCAAACCTGTTGGCAATATAAATATAAGAGCTATAAATGGAATACTTTGTTGGACAGCCTGAGATTTGTCATATAAAGTGACTATCATGTTCATGCAATTGCATTATCCATTAGAGAATGTGTGCAGCGCTCCGCTTCTCTCTGCATTCCCGAGTTCTTCAATTTCATCCTATGTTAAAGGACACCTGAACTGTATGGAAGCTGCCATTACTTCCCTGGCTGTGATGCTGATCCAATGGCATCAGTGTTTTCTGAGTCACAGACTTAGGACAAGTATGCAGATCTGGAGATAAAATTTAATTCTGCCTTTCCTAATCCCTTCCTAATCTGTGGAAGTACTGATACCAGAACGAGACTGGCGGCTATCATTTCCAGAGACACAACAGTAGGTGCTTTATGTCATACAGGTTTATTTTACATTATATGTGAACCTTCACCTTGTAAAACAACCCATTCAGTTTAAAATAGAAATGAAATGCAAAACATTTATGAATACATATAAAAAGGGGGAAAAAGGTATTATAATGTTTTTTTATAAGTGATCACATAATCTCTGTGCTCAGCTGTTTTACCACGGTTACATGATAGTTTTAGGTTTTTGGGGATTTATTTGAGATGTGCACACACTTCTATGTATAACATTTCATTAAAGTGCTACTAAACCCAGGACCCTGCATTCACTATATCCGGTCTCCCTGAACCCTGCATTCGCTATATCTGGTCCCCCCCGAACCCTGCATTCACTATATCCGGTCTCCCTGGACCCTGCATTCACTATATCCGGTCTCCCTGAACCCTGCATTCACTATATCTGGTCTCCCTGGACCCTGCATTCGCTATATCCGGTCTCCCTGAACCCTGCATTCGCTATATCTGGTCCCCCCCCAACCCTGCATTCGCTATATCCGGTCCCCCCGGACCCTGCATTCGCTATATCCGGTCCCCCCGGACCCTGCATTCGCTATATCCGGTCCCCCGGACCCTGCATTCGCTATATCTGGTCTCCCCGGACCCTGCATTCACTATATCTGGTCTCCCCGGACCCTGCATTCGCTATATCCGGTCTCCCCGGACCCTGCATTCGCTATATCCGGTCTCCCCGGACCCTGCATTTGCTATATCCGGTCTCCCCGGACCCTGCATTTGCTATATCCGGTCTCCCCGGACCCTGCATTCACTGTATCCTGTCCCCCCCGGACCCTGCATTCACTGTATCTGGTCTCCCACAGTACACCGAACATGGAAATGCAATTATTTTAATATAAACTGCTAAATACCTTTTCTCATCAGCAGTTAGAGCAGTCTATGACTTCTATCAGTGTCCAGCAGAGCACTGGTTAATCTTGGAGGAGATTTCATTCTTCTCTCATTGTCCTATGAGGCTGCAGGGTCACCGACCCTCTGTCTGGTTAGTACTGATTGATTGGCCCTGTGCTGATCACCCCTCCCAAGAAAAATGAAAAAAACTCTCTAGCAATACACATCAAACTGAGTGTGCAGCTTGCCCCCAAGGCTCTGTTCCATCAGCAGATGGATTGGGGGCAGCAGAAGGGGAGCAGCAGAGAAGACAGGATCAAACAGCCTTTTTACACAAAGTGGAGGATTAACCCCTTAGGTTCCGCAGTGAGTATAACCAGCTTTACTGCATATATGACTGATTGTACGGTTGTGGGTTTAGTAACACTTTAATGGCAGATAAACATAACAAATGTCATAATATTAGAGAATGTAACAATAATACTTGGCTATAGATTTTTTTTTTTTTTTTTTGGCCAGAGAGTCCCCAGTCTCGAGACTCGCTATTCCAAGACTTGGCTGTGGTATATACAGAATTAGTTAGTAATATCTGACCAACCCCCCTTGAAAGCAACATTACTTTTTTAAGGATTTGGCCAGTTTATAATGACATTCCTTTTGGTATGAAGCCAGCTAAGGTAACCATCCTTATATGTCCTTGTATGACCCCTTAACCAGGCATGGCTATACATTAGTGATCCACATTCAAGGAAATATTAATTTCTCCATCACCAGCTGCATAAGGAGCTCAGAGAGCTGGGGGAGGAGAAAGAGCAGCACACTAGTCTTCTCTGTGAATGGCTGTACAGGGAGGGGTGTGGAATGGCTGTACAGGGAGGGGTGTGGCAGCACAAGTGTGATCATTGGAGAAGAGCAGGACTGACCATGCTGTGCTCTCATGCCTAGTGTGGTCAGTTTGATATAGGAAAGCAGAGGGACTGGCAGGAACATCAGGAATTTTAAACAAAGGAAGCAAGACAAAGAGCAGGATGCTTTTTTGTACAAGAGCATGGTACAGCAGGCACATAGCATATGTGAACTCAACATTTCATATTCCTGATAAGTGTCTTTTGAACCCGGTGTAATTTGTCCCCTGATCACTGTTTCCATGGCCTAGTTCCTGCCAAGGGAAAAGTTTGGTAGCTGCCATTATTCTGCTCCTGAAAATGCTAGGTACCTGGCTGTCTTTGCCTTCAATTGTTTTGTCTCACAGACCTGGAACAAGCATCGCATGTTAAAGTGTCAGAATACCTTAACTTTATACATGTTCCTAGTCAGTGAATCCGTAACCATTGGAACCAAAGCTTCAGCATGACAGAGGCTGCTGACCTTTCCTTTTGAGAATGCCAATTCCCTGGCTATTATTCTCTTATGGGGGACACTGTGCTAAGAGAAGAGAGTCTGCCGGGGTCTCCTTGGAGCAGAGGGCAGTTTACATTTGTTTGAGGACCCCTTATTCCTGCGGAGTAGAGACCCTTTAAACATTTGGTAATGAAATGAGGTCATTGGAGGTGTGTGTGTCACCCATGTGCTAAAAATTCGGAGACAAGAGCATGTAGAAATCGCCAAAGTTAGTGTGCAACCTTTAATAATGATTCTCTGTTCCCTTAGCCAAAGACTTTATCCAGCATTTAATGGAGAAGGATCCGAACAAGCGCTACACATGTGACCAAGCCCTGCAACATCCATGGTAAGATGCCCTGGACAGGGGACAGCTGATTTCCGTGATCAGGTTAGGGCTACATTTGTAGACATGCAGCAGCCCTTGCCCTCCCCTCTGAAATGCGGTCCACGCTGGATCGCTTTTCAGAGCTGTTTGATGGGCTCTTATGCAGGCCATAGACTGGTCGAACATCGGCCGATTTTTCAAACGATAAACGAAAAATCGGTCGTTCGTTAAGCCGAGGTTACCACCAACTATTAAAAAAATCGGCTGAATAAATCATAAAGTTCACCCCATATAACAGCCAAACTTCTGTCTCTGGCAGGTCACGGCTCATGTGCAGATTTTTTATCGTTAAAAACAATCGGCCGATTTGGCCATCATTGCTGCGAAAATCATCCGTTTTCCGCAAATTTTCCAACATGCCCGATAATCTAAGATTAAAAAAAACCTGAAAACCGGCCGACCAATTAACCCACTAACAGTGCGAAAATCAGCCGATTTTTTCTTTCGGCCAAAAAATTGGCCGATTTACGAACCGTCTATGGCCGGCATTAGTGCCTGTTTTAACCCTGTAAATGCTGCGCTGCAACCTGTGGTCGCGGGGTTGTTTTGGTGCAGTCCCTTTCACTTGAATTGTACTTGCGAGTATGGGGGAGTGACCGGGGGTATCCTCTTTGCCGCAGCATGTGTACAACCCTGTCTGGCTGCTATTGTAGCTTAAACGGAGGAATCGGGGAGCTTAAAAATGCTTGGCAATGTTGGATGTCTGATCCACCAAGCACCAATGCCATCAAGAGTGAGGTAGGGGAGCGAACTGCATGCTCTACCGTACTTGCAAGTATGTATGTCACTTCGCTTCAGCCAGTGAAACAAGAGGATGGCACAGCAAGTGTGTGCTGCCAGTGGGGCTACCAATAAAGTGCCCTTGTTACCAGGGGCGGACTGACCATTCCAGCACTCGTGCACTGCCCGAGGGCCCGGGGTCAGTAGGGGGCCCCATGAAATGCCCCTATTACCTTTTTTATAGGCTTTTTTGGGTGTGCTTTGAGTGTGGGCAAGGACACAGGGGCCCCATGAGTTGTCAGTCCGCCCCTGCTTGTTGCAATGCTTTGCGTGGACAAACTATAGGTTTATTATCAATATTCTCAATCACTTGTCTTATATTTTCTCTTTTCCGCAGGATTGCTGGGGATACGGCTCTGGATAAGAATATTCATGAATCTGTCAGCGAACAGATCAGAAAGAATTTTGCCAAAAGTCGGTGGAAGGTGAGACTTTGAAAAAATTTTAGATTTTAAATATATATATATGATTGTAAAAATAATATATAATATATATATATATATATATATTTAAAAAAATACACATTTTGTAGAGTTGCACATTTCACAATGGTGTTTCATCTGTACTTACAATGTAGCTGAGCCTTCCATATCAGTAAGGCTAGGTTCATACCTATGTAGTTAGTGTTTGATCTGTTTCTGCAGTGCGTTTTGCGTTTTTGCACATGCCTTTTTGGTGTGTTTGATGCGTTTTTTTTTTGGTTTTTTTTTTTTTACTTGTTGCTGGACAGATTAAAACACAAGAAGCTCCTCAAAAACGTATAAACGCACTATATGCTTTTCTGCAGCATCTCCGTTTAAGTCTATGAAACCAAAAATGCACCGTTTTTAAAGTCCCTGACCCTTTCCAAGAAACACACCGGGTGAAAACACAGTGATGTGAACCTGTCCCATAGGAAATCACGTTAAATGGACTGCTGTGCGTTTCCACAAAATACATCTGCTGTGCGTTTCCACAAAATACATCTGCTGTGCGTTTCCACAAAATGCATAGGTGTGAACCTAGACTAAGGTGCTGTATGTGTAGCTAAAAATATGAACAGCAGGGGGCAGTGTGAGTCCACAGATATTTCTCTTGCTTCAAGAAACCCTGCTATGCTATACTACTGAAACTTACACAAATTCCTCAATTGTTTTACAATGTCCATAAAATATATATATATATATATTTTTTTTTTTGTGCTCAGCATTGAGTACACCCATCAGATTTGTCAGAAATCCTTTTACTTTCCTTTCAGAATAAACATCTTCTATGGGACACTATAGAACAAAATATTTCCACAAATGCAGGCCATTGACTGCAAAAATGTATTTCTTAATTTGCACACACAAAAAAGTATTTTTTCCTAACAAATTCATTCAAGACCATGTTGCAAAAATGTATACACCCCAATGAAAGTCTTAGGAGCAGAGCAAAATTTTAGACAAAATCCTAATGAACAAGAATTCAACTACAGGTGAGTCCAATTATTCATTAAACCGGTATCCAGCAGACAGCTGATTATAAAATGGGCATTACTTAACAAAGAAAATCCCTCCCATTTCATGCTGTCAGCAATGGCACCACATGGAAGAGAAATGTCACAAGGCCTGAGAAAGAGAAAATAACTTCTTTATACAAGAAAGGTGAAGGCTACAGGAAGATCAGCAAAGCTTTACTTATCAGTCAGAATACTGTAGCAAAGGTGATACAAAAATTTAACAAAGATGGAATTGCAACCATGTCACAGAGACATCCAGGCCATCCACAGAAGTTAACTCATCGACAAAAGCATCTTCTGATGAGAAAGGTTGAAGAAAATCGCCATGCCGTATTGTGAAACAATACGGCATACACTACAGAAGAATGGCATTCATGGATGTCGTCCACGAAGGAAGCCTCTCACTAAAGCCCACCTAGAATTTTGCCAGGGCCCATCCTGAAGAAGAAAACTACTGGGACTCTGTATTGTGAGTGATGAGACCAAGATTAATGTTTTTGGAACTGTTGGCTTTAAAACTGTATGGCATCGCAAAGGTGAGGGGTGCAAAGAAAAATGCATGGTGCCTACAGTGAAACATGGTGATGGCAGTGTCCTTCTGTAGGGCTGCATGAGTATTGCTGGTGTCGGAGAACTGCATTTCATTGATGGTATCATGAATTCACAGATGTCCTGCTCTATATTGAAAGAGTAGGTGCTACCATCACTCTGTGCCCTTGGCCGTCATGTACTTTTCCAACATGACAATGATCCAAATCACACATCTAAGGCCACTGTTGCATTTCTGAAGAACAGGGTGAAAATGATTCAATGGCCAAGTATGTCTCCTGATCTGAACCCAATCGAACACCTATGGGGAATTCTGAAGAGACAAGTTGAGCATCACTCTTCATCCAGCATCCAGGCTCTAACAGAGGTCTTAAAGAATGGAAAAAGATTGATGTTGCCATATGTCCCCAACTTGTTCATTTCATGCCTAGAAGACTTCCACACCCTTACAAATCATGGAGGTGATACAGAATACTAGATGGAGTAGTTTTTGTTGTGGGGTGGATTCATTTTTGCATCAACTAATTTTGAGTAAAACTGAAGATTTTGTAGTCTTAAGTTATAATATTAACCTCCCTTTAATGTACTGAGCCAAATGTTCTATAAAACTCAAGTTTTGTCAAAATTTTGGAGATTGTTCATGTATTCATTGAGATGTATTGGGCCAGCCCGCCAAATAATTCTATTCAGGTGTTCCACTCACCTCCATGGCCACAGTTGTATACAATCAAGCACCTAGGCATGCAGACTGCTTCTACAAACATTGGTGAAAGAATGGGTCGCTCTCAGGAGCTCAGTGACTCCAAGCGTGGTCCCGTGATAGGTTGCCACCTGTGCAATAAGTCCATCTGTGACATTTCCTGGCTACTAAATATTCCACGCTCAACTGTTAGTGGGATTATAACAAAGTGGAAGCAACTGGGAACAACAGCAACTCAGCCACCAAGTAGTAGGCTACGTCACATGACAGAGCGGGGTCATCGCATGCTGAAGCGCACAGTGTGCAGAAGTCGCTAACTGTCTGCAGAGTCAATAGCTAAATACCTCCAAACTTCATGTGGCCTTCAGATTAGCACAACAGTGCCTAGAGAGCTTCATGGAATGGGTTTCCATGGCCGAGCAGCTGCATCCAAGCCTTACATCACCAAGTGCAATGCAAAGCGCCGGATGCAGTGGTGTAAATCACGCCGCCACTGGACTCTAGAGCCGTGGAGACATGTTCTCTGGAGAGACAAATCACACTTCTGTCTGACAATCTGATGGACATGTCTGGGTTTGGCGGTTGCCAGGAGAACGGTACTTGCCTGACTGCATTGTAGAACGGTACTTGCCTGACTGCATTGTGCCAAGTGTAAAGTTTGGTGGAGGGAAGATGATGGTGTGGGGTTGTTCAGGGGTGGGCTTGGCCCCCTAGTTCCAGTGAAGGGAACTCTTAAGGTGTCCGCATACCAAGACATTTTGGACAATTTCATGCTCCCAACTTTGTGGGAAGAGTTTGGTGGTGGCCCCTTCCTGTTCCAACATGACTGCACACCAGTGCACAAAGCAAGGTCCATAAAGACATGGAGGAGCCAGTTTGGGGTGGAGGAACTTGACTGGCCTGCACAGAGTCCTGACCTCAACCCCATAGAACACCTTTGGGATGAATTAGAGCGGAGACTGCAAGCCAGGCCTCCTCCCCCGACATCAGTGCCTGACCTGACAAATGTGCTTCTGGAAGAATGGTCCAACCTTCCCATAGACACCCTCCTAAACCTTGTGGACGGCCTTCCCAGAAGAGTTGAAGCTGTTATAGCTGCAAAGGGCGGGGCCAACTCAATATTGAACCCTACGGACTAAGAGTGGGATGCTAGTAAGTTAATCTGTGTGTAAAGGCAGGCGGCCCAATACTTTTGGCAATTTAGTATGTATGTATGTGTGTGTATGTATATGTGTGTGTGTGTGTGTGTGTATATATATGTATGTGTGTGTACACACTCTCTCTCTCGCGCGCGCTAAAGGGTCTCCCGTTGATTCCTTCTCTTCTTGGTGCACCACTATAGGAAGCCACTTCCTATGGTAGTGCACCTGTGGAGTCGATTCCAAGGCATGCTGCATGCATCCAGAGACAGACAGCGCTGCTTAGCCCCGCCACATGATTTGACTGACCGCAGCAGGAGCCAATGGCTGCTGCTGCTTTAGCAATGCCTGTGAAAGCAGGAAAAGCTGCTACAGATGGGAATTGTGCTGGAATGAGTGAGGGCTCAGGTAAGCATAAGTGTTACAGCTTTTTCCTCTACAACTAGACTTAAAGGCTAAGTTCACCTTTTTAAAAACAAGAAAATATAAATGGTCATCTTTTAGCAGGAAAAAAAAGTGCATTTATTTCTTTTACATTGCCGCCTGTAAAGCATTGAACAATGAAGCATCATAATCCACATATCATGGGTGCAATGTCAGGATCCTGTAGATTCTCGGTAAGCTGTCTGCCCGTGTATGTATCAGCAGGCAGGTACTGAATGGCAGGAAGAATCAATGAACTACGAGAATGCTCACCAGCGCCCTCCCAGTTCATTGTGAACTACAAGCCGTCGGCTGCAATGGCTGATGGTCCTTGTAGTCTATTCATTCACAGGAAACTGTGACAAATATAGAAGAAAAGTACAGTCCTAGCTTTATTTTTAATTTATACCTATATATGTTAACCTATTACATAACAATTTATAGTATATCCAGAACCATTTATTATCGTAAAGACCAGGATAATGTCCCTACCGTTATACTGATGCACACTAATGTTAATTTGGCAAGAAATGAGATTGTCTGTCTTTTACGAACTGAACCCAAGACATCTGTTCTATAAAGACAAGAAATACGACTTAACCACTGTGCTGACTCTTGTTTCTGTTTTCCATGCAGCAAGCATTTAATGCCACCGCCGTAGTTCGTCACATGCGCAAACTGCAACTGGTACCAGCCAGGAGGGGCCAGGGCAGACCACACCCACCAGCCCATGTCACGGTAATCTACTGGTGCCTGGAGACAACCACGGTGAGCATTAGCAGAAGCAGTTTGTACAATAAAAAACATGCTGTTAAAGGAGTACGCCATGCAAAATATAGAAATCTGTAGTGAAAATAACTTTGAAGGCAGGAGGAAGCATTTCCTCAGTCTCCTCTTCCCCAGTGATCAGACTGCAACATTGTAACTTTGTAAAAAAAAAAAAAAAAAAAAAGTGAGAGGATTCAACTGGGGCTGATCTGTGTCAGGCATTTGTGAACACATCTAAGAATTATATACCCTCTACCCATTCTGCCAATCAAATCCTTGTTGAAACGCACCTTCTGCTAGTCTGATTTCATCTGGTGTATTGAGACCCAATATAAAGACCGAATTGTACTGATTTTATGACTCCCAAAGAACTAAAGAACTAAACTAAAGGATCATTTTAATATATTTGGCCGGAGTTCTTCTTTAACCAAACAATTCCATGGCTTAAATATTTTGTGTTGTGTCAGCAATGGAATGAAAAGACAGCAGTAACACCTATGCAGAGTTCACTCTAGCAGCAGAGAGTATACTGAATGCAATGTTACAATATAGGATATAGTAGAGGATATGTATATATCCCCTTTTGGCCTAGTCTGCTATCTGTAGTGTTTCCTGGCACATGTTTGGTACGTGTCCCATTGTCATGTCTTTGCTGCAGCTGTCGTTGGAGCCGATGTCATATACTTGGACTTTAAGAGAGACTTGGTTCAACAACCGAGCATGTTGGCTCGAATCAAGAGCTTTGGACGTGGAGGTAACATAGAGTAGGTAGATAGCAAGCTTTGAGCAGAAGGAATCCCTCATAGAGAATGCAGAGGACATGGTGAACATTGAGAGCACGTGTTTGAGATTGTCAAGGAGCTGTTCTGAGGCGTTATTGGTGGTTCTGGACCAAAATGGAGGAGAGGACGTCTAGGTGTGATTCTCCTCTGCATTCTGGTATTCCACTTATAGCTTGGCTGTGTAGATATGTCCTCTCTTCTGTTATAGTCCACTTTTGAAGGCTGACCTCAGAATTTCAAGCCACAAAAATGCTAATCACTACATTGTTCATGTGTCAGAAGTATACTAGCAGCAACAAAACTGGCCTACCAACTAGCAAGAATCATCATTTACATACCTGGAAGGCAGAAATTCTATTTGGAAGTAGCTTTGTTTTTTATATGCAACATGTTTTTGCATATCAACCCCAAGTGAGTAAAGGGGACAACATACAGGCCACATCAGCCATGAGAGGTTACATTAAACCCTTCCCATACTTATAGTGTGGACTGCTGCAAGCTTGGGGTCAACAGATTGTCATTATTACAGGTCCTTGTATACATACACTATACACATCAGTCCATGCCTTTAAGAAGCTTACAATCTAAGGTCCCTAACTCACATTCATACATACACACACATACTAGGGCCAATTTAGACAGGAGCCAATTCACCTACCAGCAGGTTTTTGGAGTGTGGGGGGAGACCAGAGTACTCAGAGGAAACCCACACAAGCACAGGGAGAACATGCAAACCCAGGCAGGTAGTGCTGTGGTTGGGATTCGAACCAACGACGTTAGTGCTGCACTTGGGTGGAAGTGCTAACCACTTAGCCACATCTATAAGGGCATGTGTCAGTAGGCTTTGTTCACATTAGAAGTCTCCCCATACAAGTCAATGAGACTGCAAAGGCGGCTTAGGAGGTCAAGTGCAGGCCGGAAGGAGGTCAACTGTAGGGGCATATACATCTGCCAACAAAGGCCTCAAAATGTGTGTGGTTTGTAAGGCTTACCATTTCCTCCTACATGTCGGCCATATGTCTATATGCTGTGGACAGACAAGTCTCTGTTGACCAATCTGCCCGCAACCAAGAAGTAGAAAGGTCAAACCTCACAATCCGCACACATAGGGTCAGTTTAGATCTACAAGTACACCAGTCACTGACTGGATCCCTAATTTGGCTGTACAGTCTTGGTTGCTTTGTTGGCTCTTTCCAACCAATGGCCCAAAAGACAAAGCTATGGAAAGTTACATTTCTATCGCTCCATGCCTAATACCTGCTTGATCTAAACTTTTACGGTCTAACCACAATGGTTGCTTGGCTTGGCCATCCAAATGACAAAGTCAGCTGGACATCATTACATGGGTTTGTAGGCCTGATATAGAATATGATGACTTCACTGCCGACCTCCAGATGTCTCTGGAAAATAATAATCTGTAAAGTGAAGATAAGATCTTTACAAGCAGCATACCATTGCTCCCAGGGGTGTTATTATGGTTTGCTGAATGAAGCGTTTTAGGATGGTCACAGGTCATTGAGTGGAAAACACAGTATAAATCAGGAAGCCCATCTTTCAGACTCCCAGATCGAGTTAAAAGCCGTAGTTGACATGCCTTTGCCGACTTGTCTGGAGTTGACAACAAACTTGAAACTGATTTAAAATGAACCTGTCAGTCCTCTAAATCTGAAAACTGCAACAAAGCCTTTCACATGAGAGCTGCTTTACTTGCTCCTGAGATGGTCTCATTAAACTGGAACTCTAAAACTTTAAAGCAGGGGTCTCCAAACTTTCTAAACAAAGGTCCAGTTTAGGGTTTTCAGACTGGGAGGGGGGGGGGGGCGTACAGTGGCAAGTGAAAGTAGAAAATGCAACAGCAATCGGAGTAGCCAATGGGGTTGATTTACTAAAGGCAAATAGACTGTGCAATTTGCAAAGTGCAGTTGCTCCAGAGCTTGGTAAAAGATCACATGCTCTCCTGACTACCATCATCCAATCATGTGCAAGCAAAATTGTGTGTTTTTTTTTTTTTTTTAGATTTTCCTTGCGTGTGATTGGGTATCCTTTGAAAATTGAAGCCTTACCTCATTGCTATGTTCTGGAACAACTGCAGCTACAAAGTGCACAGTCTGTTTACCTTTAGCAAATCAACCTCAATGTCTCAGGCTTGGTGGTCAGTGGGAGTAAATAAATTGCATAGTGCATGTGGTCAGTAGAATGACGAGTAGTGCCCCATCAGTGGAAGGAATAATGACCATCATTGGTGTCAGTGGAAGAAATGGTGCCCCCTCATTGGTATCAGTGGAAGGAATAATGACCCAATATTGTTTTCATTGGGGGGAATAGTGCCCCGTCATTTGTATCAGTGGGCGGAATAGTGCTCCACCATTGGTGTCAGTGGAAGTCACAAAGCCCCATCATTGGTGTCAGTGGAAGGAATAGTGCTACATCATTGGTGTCCGTGGGGGGGAACAATGCCCCCTTATCAGTGGGAGGAACAGTGCCCCCATCATTGGTGTCAGTGGGAGAAATAATGACCATCATTGGTATCTGTGGGGGGGAATAGTGTCTGCCTCATGTTTGGTGTCAGTGGGAGGAATAGTGCCTGTCACGATCGTGGCGTCAGACCCCAGACCTTCTCACCAAACTCGTGACCGAGGGACTAGCCAATCTAAAACCACGATGTCACGTGCGTAACAATACCACGCCCAGCTGCACCCTGCACACCGATTTTCCAGCTAATTGGACCACAATCGATGTACCGGCAGCCTGAGCGATTTTTAATGGGTCAGGTTGATTACGCAATTAACCCTTCACACTGCCACCACCTCCTTTTTGTACAGAGAGAGGAAACTCGGCGATATCCGCAATAACACTATAATGGTTGAAGTAATCACCTGTATAACACGGTTATACAGAGGGTTAAACGAACACAGTAGCGTTCTCTTTAGAGGCAGGAATTCGTAAATTGCAATACAGAGCGATAGAAACAGTTCAACACTTTCAGAAGGAAAGATTTATTACTAAAAGGTCAAACGGGTGCAATACAAATATTTACAGAAAAAGATGTAACGAAGGTGTATATATATAAATATACAGAGACTAACAGCACAGCAAAGAGACATCAGAAAGAGGTGAAAGGGTTAAGGTACTTGTCAAAGTCCTGGGTTAGCAGATCCAAGTTTCAGAGCGAAAGGGCACAGGTCTCCCCAGGTGGTACTGATGTTAAAATGGGAGACGTCTTCAACTTCCCTTTCTTAGGCCTGACAGCCCAATTTGTAATTCCCCAGCAGGGGGTGTCTCTGAAGTCAAGGACCAATACCCTGTTTAGGGCGTGGAGGTCTGGGCGTAGCCCTAAACTAGAACCAAAATCTTGTATAGTTCATATTTTGGCTCATAACTTTTCTTATGCACAAGTGACACTCCACCCGCGGGTAGATTATGATGCAGACACGTTTTATGATTGATTATATATGAATTCTGAAATTATATACTGGTTCCCGAGATCTGCTTTCCTATGTATTCGAGAAAGGAGAGTGATTCATCAAATTGTTCATCTCCTCTTAGCCAATCTGACGATATGTCTGTTTTTTATGTAAGTCTCTCATATTCCAAGATATGAGACATAGGGGAAAAATGGATTTTGAAAAGTGTTTATCTGATTCGTACTTCGTTGGTATGCCTTGAACTCCTGGGCAAGCTTGTCTTATCTTATACGAGGTGTTATATGGTGCACCTAGCTCAAAAATGTTTTCTAGCTCTGGGGTTCCCTGCCATGCCTTAGCCTGCCTGTGACCCTTCCAACACACATATGTCCCTGTGGAATAACCAAGATGAAAGGGGGAAAAATGAGGGACAAACATGGAGATTCATAACAAAATGGAGGACTGCGTCAGTCTCTGGGTATACGCTTGTTACAGTGCCTCCTTATCAGTGGGAGGAACAGTGTCCCAAGGGTCGGAATAAAGGCAAACAAAGGGCCGCTGTTCGGAGACCACTGCTGTAGACTATGGATGAGCCAACATAGAGTACATAGCTGTCCATAGCAATGAAGAGGGACCTCAGTGTGTGGCAGTAACATGAACCATGATAGGAAGATCCCCCTGGAAGCCGGAAATCACTGTAGCAGGCACTTCTACTACAGCACTTGCCGCTGGGGTCCTGTACCAAACAGCTGCCCTGCTGCACAGTGACACAGTGACATCCCCGCCCTGCTGCACAGTGACATCCCCGCCCTGCTGCACTGTGACATCCCAGCCCTGCTGACAGTGACATCCTCGCCCTGCCTCCCCACCTCATCCAAGAACAGAATATCTGAAGTACAGTGAGAAAATGCAAAGTGTTCTCTGAATGGCTCCCATGCTGAATAAGACCCCTTCTTTGTCCACTGAACAGGACTCGGAAGCCAGCAGGAATGACTGTAATAGCTGTGGCTTCTACAAGAAGCTTCTAGGGGTAATCTCCGGTATGGAATATGCATAATTACAGTGGTCCAAGCTGGTTCAATTTAATGATGCAAAAATGGCCATACCTGGAAATGGGCTTTAATCTGGCAGCTCCCTATATATATATATATATATATATATATATATATATATATATATATATATATATATATATATATATATATATATATATATATATAAACATTCACATCAGTCCCTAACCCTCAAGGGGCGTACAATCTAAGGCCCCCAACAGTTTGCTCAGCACTTTACAATATAAGGGGAGACAATACAGCAACAATACAGTTCAATACAAGAGGGATAGGAGGGCCCTGATCCTGGGAGCTTACAATCTTGGAGGGAGGGGCTAGTGGTACAAAAGATAGTAACTGGGGGATGTACTGGTTGGAAGAGTAGAAGATTGCAGTATTAGCAGGATAGGCTTCCCTGAAGAGATAGGCTTATAGTATATACCTTGAGCCAATGTAACTATGTAAAAATCTCCATGCCTGGAATTTTTTTTTTTTTGGAGGGGAGGGGTTGCTTTAAGCCAAATAATATCTCCTAGATTGTAAGCTCCTAGGATCAGGCCCTCCTATCCCTCTTGTATTGAACTGTACTGTTGCTGTATTGTCTCCCGCAATTGTCTTGGCGCAATATAAATCCCGTATTATAATAATAATAAGAAGAATGCACCAGTTATAAATATTAAGCTGACAATGCAAAAAACATTTTGATTGTACAAGCTCTCTGATTTGCCAACATACTGCGATGGTCCGCCTGAATGGATACAAAATTAATGGATTGCCTAGCTTTGTTCTACCAAGTAGTTTTGCTAAATCTATAGGACATTGCATAATCAAAGGGTAGAATGTATGGGCAGCTTTACACTGACTTGTAACAAAACCAGGGTAGCCCTTTAAGAACTAGTTGGCATTGTTGGCTGTTCTACTTCGTTGACCCAGTAGGTGCATAGCACACGTGTTATCTGTGCCATACTGATTATATTGTGAGAAGTGCCTGATAACTGGCATGAAAGGCGCTCATTGTGCTGGCTTGGCTTGTTGGAACCATCTCCCTGCAGCCATGCACACCTAAAATAACAAATAGCATTGTGGATGAAAAATCCTTAATGCAGCAATGAAGCGCAAAAAGCGTGTCCCAGAGGTATTTTCCCATAAATATGGATGGGAACACAGACTTGGGCCAGAGGTTGTCACCAACGGGAATATCAGCTTTGTATGATTCCAAGAGTCTGAGGCCAGGAATTTACCCCTAGACTCATGTTGGATGTACAGTAAATATATACAGAACACAGTAATGATTATGCTGGCTCAGCTCCTGTCCTGATCTAACCTTCTCCATCTCTCCTCCATGTGTGGCTAGGAGCAGATTCCCCCCCGAGGTTGACAAGGCAAACTCTAGTTTAAAAAGGAATTCTGGATTGTAGCACATTAGTGTCATTAGTCGTTTATTACTGTATAGTAAACACATCGTTGGGAGCCCAGGCTTGAATTATTTCTAGATGACCTGATTCTGGGTTAGGGTTTCTAGTGTAGCACAGAACCTACGTCACTGCAATCTATGAAAAGTCATTGCATGAGCTTTAGTGGTTAGATTTACCCTACTAATGATGTGTTGTCCCAATAGTAATTGTGCTCAATATGAATGAAACCGCAGGTTCAGACATTTGGTTTAGGTGTTTGGATGGCGAGTCAAGGGGTGAAGCTGACATCTATAGGATTATGACTGATTATCTCTAAGTCAGAGTCCTCCCTACAGGTGATAATATTGCAGTGCCATGGAGCCCAGGTTGGCCTGGTTTAAATGGGCCCCCCCACCCTGCCTAGAGGTCAGTGCCTGTAAATTTGTACCACGCCCGCACAACACCATTGAGTATGGCACATGATACTTTTTTATTTGCACTAACAGTGATGCTATTTAGGAAGCACTTTAAGAGTTTAGACCAGGGGTGTTAAACTGGCGACCCTCCAGCTGTTGCGAAACTACAAGTCCCATCATGCCCCTGCCTTTGGGAGTCATGCTTGTAACTGTCAATCTTGCAGTGCCTCGTAGGACTTGCAGTTTGACAACAGCTGGAGGGCCACCAGTTTGACACCCGTGGTTTAGATCTTTCTTCATGCTCATACTAATTAGTTTGTCCATCATATGCTCAATTTGTGATGGGTTACACCAGTGGCCAAACTACCAGGGTCGCACTTATTTATTTATTATAGGTACTTATATAGCGCTGTCAATTTACACAACGCTTTACAAATATATATATTGTTCATTCACATCAGTCCCTAACCCTCAAGGGGTGTACAATCTAAAGTCCCTAACTTACATTCATACACATACTAGGGGCAGTTTAGACAGGATCCAATTGACCTACCATGATGTCTTTGGAGTGTGGGAGGAAACTGGAGTACCCGGAGGAAACCCACGCAGGCACAGGGAGAACATGCAAACTCCAGGCAGGTGGTGCCGTGGCTGGGATTCGAACCAATGACCCTAGTGCTGCCAGGTGGAAGTGCTAACCATTTAGCCACTGTGCTGCCCTTGCAACCAAGCCCTGGAGTTCTATCACTGTAGGACACAGGTGTCAAACTGGCGGCACTTCCAGATGTTGCCAAACTAATACAGAGCATCCAGCTTTAATTAATTAATCAAATCCAACAATTGCTCTATACTGGGGGAGGGGGATCACAGCAGCAGGGCAGAGAGACTGGATGTGCTACACCTGTCCTGTGCACAATGATGATGTTTTTTGGGGCGTGGGTAGCACACCCGAAGTCTGGAACTAATTAAGGTCAGTGAGGAATACATAATCTATTCCATTTTTTTTTCTCTCTCAAGAACCCTTTAAAGTGACACCAAACAATATCCTTCTCTAGAAATAATCCATACACATGCACTACTTAAAGCAGAGCTCCACCCAAAAGGGAACGTTCTGCTTTAGGGCCTCCTTCCCCACTCCTGTTTATAAAATGGAGCTTTTGGGGAGGGAGGGGGGGGGGGGTCATTTTGAGAGGTTCCCACTTCTGCTCTGACCACATGTGTCAAACTAGTGTCCCTCCAGCTGTTGCCAAACTACAAGTCCATGAGGCTTTGCAAGATTGACAGTTACAAGTATGACTGCTAAAGGCAGTGGCATGATGGGACTTGTAGTTTCGCAACAGCTGGAGGGCCACTAGTTTCGCAACAGCTGGAGGGCCACTAGTTTCGCAACAGCTGGAGGGCCACTAGTTTCGCAACTAGTGGCCCTCCAGCTGTTGTGAAACTAGTGGCCCTCCAGCTGTTGCGAAACAGCTGGAGGGCCACCAGTTTGACACCCCTGCTGTAGGAGGATCCCCACCAATCGCCTCCTGACACTGGGATCTGAATGGGCAGAGAGGGAGACTGAAAGAGAAAGTCAGCTGACCTGGACCAGTAGAGTGAAGGGGGAGGAGCTCTCTGCCATGTAAGTAGACCTCATGTCGTGATAGGAGTTACTGTAGACAGTTACTGTAGACACGTGAAGGAAGGAAGCTGGAGATGCACTGAGACTTAACAAGGAGGGGGAACTGAGTGATCTGCACTGATCCCATCCCTCTTATCAGCACTACCACTGATCCCATCCCCCTCCCCACTACCACTGCTACCGCTGTCTCTGGTCAGATATAAAGGGGAACTCTGCAGATTCAGATGTAAGGGGGCCTCTGCGCATGCCGATGTAAAGGGGAAACTGTGGACTCTGATGTAAAGGGGAAATTAAAAAAATTGCTGTGTACCACTACAGTGTTCAGATTTGGCTTGAATAAAAGGTGGCAACCCTACTCCAGATGGCATGAAGGGGTCTGCTGCAAAACATGTGAAAGGGTCCCACTGTGGGACCATAATAAAGGGCTCTATAACTGGAGTAAAGGGACCAGAGGTCAGGGGGACCCTTCATAGTTTCTTGCCCTGAGGCCCTGAAGATTCTAGTTATGCCTCTGGGTTACACTTTCGTCTCTACTGAAGGCATATGTGGTGGCAGGGAACATGCAGACAGGAGAATGCATAGAAGAGATATGGCTTTATTGGTGCTCTGCTGCTTATTCATTGTCCAGTCTACACATTGGGGAATGGGGGGGGGGGGGGTATTCTTGACCAAACTGTGTTGCCTTCAGTTGCAGTCAAGAGTCTGCCTCTGCTGTCTGTCGGACGTGCTTGGACCCACAGAGCCGGTTCAGCGAAATTGGAAATACTTTGACAAACACAAGTTCCCATGTACATGTTTCTACTGTGCAGATAGATACTTGTTTAGAGTTGGGCTTTAAAACTGTAGTATGCTGGGTATTCTCTAGAGTGTTTGTGCATTGCCTGGTTATTGTATCTTGAGTCAAATGATGAAAGGGTTTATTTTTCTCTTCTTGCCTTGACCAAATGTGTGGTTCCCACATCTGGCCTTAATTCATTTGTTTGTGAGATGTTTTGGTACGTGTTCATGTTGCTAATGTAATTCATGCAGGATCCGGCACCTTTCATGCTCTGTGAATTGAACACAATTCAGAATTTTGATATGTTTAAAGGAGAACTCTGGTCATGACTGTTCATCTCTGGATAGATCGAACAGCATAACCTGAAAGGAAATTAGCAAAAAAAAATCTTATGGGGTCCTCGTGACCCTAGTGGTCATCCATATGCAAAAGATTAAAAAAAAAAGCTGTGTTTGGTCATTCCTCTTCTGCATGTCCTAGCTGAGTGGATCTCTATTGATCTTTGCTGTGCTTCATGTGTCATGATGATGTAATCAGCAGCGACAGACACCCCCTTGAATTTGCTGTTCTCCCCAACTGCCAGTCATTACAAAACCATGTGGCTGTGTCAATCTCATCCACTGGTTTACAAATTACAGAATAACAAAAGAATCCAACAGAGAGGGTAACACAATGGATTTGTGAGCATCTACTGTGGTCACTGGGGATAGTTCATACTTGTTCTTGTCATACAGATGTATGCAACAGAGGAGTTTGCAGCTTTGTCTACTGAATGCTCTTCTAACAGTTTCTAAGAAGAACAGGCATAGCGCAAAGAAATGAGGAAAGGAGAAGTGCCTAGTATCCAAAAGAATTTCCAATTTGAAGAAGGCTGGCCCAGTGATAGCTGTGGTTACAGGAAGCAGCAAACCCGAAACATGTTGGCATGATGTACCTGTTGCTACTCTCAAAAATTCTTGAATCAACTTCCAAACTTGCAATTCTTTTGGATACTGGGCACTCTTCCTTTCCTCTCAGTCTTGCATGCGTCCACAATCTTAAGGCCGTACCAAAAAGGCAGCAACTCAAGAGGGTTTACAACCACTCTCCACCAGAAGGAATCCTTCAAGCCGACCATATAACCACCCACCCAGGACCAGTACCTGATTCAGTCAGTCCAGCATGGTCTCCAACACATACGTAGACAAAGCTGCATCAGTTAATTACTAAAAATTACTTGCCGGCCCTATATTCACAGCTGTAAAGCATAAGCGCAATTGTTGAAAATACCTTGGTTTCTTTTGACTCGATTGCTTTTGCAAAAAATGGTCTATTTTGATAATTGTATGAGGTTAATCATTGTACATTTCTCCACATTTTGCACGCAGATCAAGCTATCTAGTGACAGTAACAGTGATTGGGATAAACTAAAACACAGCCAGAGGTCATACATGAGTTAACCATTTATCAGTATACAACATTATGAAAATAGAGGTCTGTGAAGTTTACAGGTCTCAGAAAACCCCCATAAAAATATCTACATATTGTATGAACATTCATTTGATAAGCAGGTTTAACTACACCTCCTTTCTTTATTCCTTTTTTAAAAGTCCCCCCTTGCTCTATATCAGGGGTCTCCAATCCAAACTTTCTAAATAAAGAGCCAGCTTACAGTCCTTCAGACTGTAGGGGGGACCGGACTGTGGCCATTAGGAGTAGAAAAGATCCTGTCAGTGGGAAAAACATTGCCCCATCTTTGGTGTCAGTGGAAGGAGTTTGGTCCTATCGTTGGCATCATTGAGTGGAAATATGCCCCTTCATTTGTGTTCGGGGGTAATTTTGCTCCATTGTTGGTGGGTGAATGAAAGGGTGCCCGAAGAGCTGGGTAAAAGCAAGCAAAGGGCCATAGTTTGGAGACCACTGCTCTATCTGAAATCATTATCAATAGTAATCCATGGAATTAAAAATAACCAGAAAAAAAACTGTGCAAATTGCAGTGACCTTTTCAATGTGTGGACTAGAGAATAATCACTGCTCCATCCCCTCGTGGTACTTCTTAGTAACCTTTGGAGGAACCCTAGAGTACTGAGGAATCCGGGATGAGCAAGGCTGTTCTCTTCATATCTGGTGACATTCTAGAAGGTTTCTCGAGGAGCCTGAATGATCTATCGCCTACATTTTAAGAGCCTTCTGGCAACCCCTGAATTTAGGGAGCGCTACTGTACAGGTCAAGACTGGCTCCTGTATCTAAGTGAGGGACACCCATTTAAAATTATTGACCCACAAGGTTTGAAATGGGGAAATGAGCAGCTCACTGAAATGTAAACACCAGATAACCGTAATGTCAGGCCTCCTATGAATATCTGCAAAGCATGTGAACATTGATGCAAAGTTGCAGGCACCTTTTGGATGCCATCTTTTTCATGTCTGGTGATAGTTTAGAATTAAAGGTTCAGTAATAAGCTTTGCAGTATTGCTGCACAGTGGTCTCTGTCTAATATGTTTGTGTCACTCTTTTTTTTAAATTACAGGGTCCCATTCAGACAACTGTCAAGACTGCTGTTCCCAAAAATCTCCCGAGAACAACTCTCTGACATACACCACCCATCACTGCCCCCAATCCAACCGGGTCTAGGAGTGATCGAGGTGCATCTTGGATACAGTGCCACGGGAAGTAAAGGAAGGCGGCCTAGCTGAGTTTTGACCAGGGCTCGCCAACTACCGAGGGCAGACCTTCAAGCAAGGAAAGGCCTTACTTATCAAACCACGGGGGGGTGGGATTGGGCAGAGCGGGCACTGGAAAGAGGCAGAATCAGGCCCATCTGTGCGTGTGCGTGATCGTTCGTAAGCGTGTATGTTTGATGATGAGAGCAATTGCGGGCCTGATGGGAAGATGGAAATGTTTACAGATAATCAAAGGGCGTCCTTGTTGTTCTTTTGTAAAATGTTGCCTGCACATGTACGTGGGTGTGGGAGTGTTTCATTTTCTTTCTGTATCAAGGTATAGACTCTTGCTGCTGTATAATTTGGCTTCCAGTGAAGACACTTTTTGATTATGCTAGGAAGAGGACAAAGTCAGGAAGGTCCAAAATGGCTCCTAGCTGGTTCAAGGACACCACAAACTTTTTGTAGCGGTGAAACACTAGGCGGGGTATCATCCATTTTGTACTTGGTGGACTACGAAAGTGGTCTGGGAACAAGGGGCTTCTGCTTAATGTAACTTGGGAGGCTTTGACGTCGATGAAGGTTTTACTTGTTCTTCCAGGCCATGGGCGTGTTTTCAGGCTTTATTTTTGTTTTCTAATTTGGTGCAGTTGTCAATGTGCATTCTCTGCACTGCAAAGTGAAGTTTTGACAATGGCCAATAATTCACAAAGAAATGCGCTCTTGTACTTGTTGCAAGGCCTTCTGAGTATTTCTACCATTTGATGACTTTTTTGTTTCGTGTCTAGTGGTGATGAAATGCAAAATGTTCTATGTATCTCTTGGGAAGTTTGACACATTTTATAATGACAAATCTGCTGGGCCAACCAGTATTACCAAGTCAGCCTAGTACGGGTCAATGTGCTGGATAAGGATTGAAATCTGTGAATGTATTTAGCTGAAGATCATCATAAGAAACTTAGATTATCCAAAGGGACATCTTAAAGCATACCAATTTGCAGGTCTTTTTTGCTTGGTTCCCAAAACTAGATAAAAATTCATACTTGACCGCCATTTTTATCTAAAGGGGAATTCAACTCGCTTCAGAGCATGAAGACTCCCAGGGGTGGCAACGAGACTAGGAGCTGGCAACCAGGCTCTTCTCATGGAAGAAGGGGATGGAGTGATTCCTTATTTTACCTAAGGATGGGATATACATTTTTAAGTGGCTTGTTTGGCATATCTCCCTTTTGGAAATCTCTTCCATGCCATTTGCACACGTCTGATGTGGACATTTTATACAGTCTGATGCTAAAGTTAAGCCAAATCGGCATTGTCCTCACCTAGCTTGCACCAGTGGTGCTCATCAAATATAGTAAACTAAAATGCACTATTTCTCTGCCACCCCAAGTGTCAATTTTGCCATTGTTTTGAGTCCCTGAAAAGATATTAATACCTGATCTAAGACTTTTCTTTACATGGCTAACCTACAGTAAGAAAATCTGATTGCATAGACAGACGGTTGCCAGAAGTGCTTATTATCACATAGAGTTTTCCAAGTGAGGTCTGACAGATGTCTCAATGTCCCGAGGCCACCCACACTTCAACATAGTCGTCCAAGAAGCTGACTATTTCAATATGATCTGTCTATAAAAAAATCAAGCAGGCATTGTTGACTGGCAGTAAGGCTTTTTGGCAGTGAAATTGGAAAGAAAGCAGTTTTGGAAAGATTTCCCTCGCTCTCAATAAGAATGCAGCATGCAGGATGTAATTAAATATTTGTAACAAATTAAAAGAAAAATTGATTAAATACATTTTATTGGAAATCAAGGCTGTGTGTGTACTCGGGTCTCATAGAAAAACAGTTACCGGGTCCCTTCTCTCTTTTATTAATCTTCATCTCAAAGGAATTTCCTTTATGGATTCAGAATTTTAGAGGTTTCAAACTATACTGTACATTCCTTTTAGCTAAATGTAAATGCCAAATACCTTTGCTACCTGTATAAATCACGAGGCCCTACTGTGTCTCTGGGACCCACGTGCTGTGCTGTGCTGCGGCTTTAGCTACAATGATGCAAATCAACTGTAATTTCAAATGTAATACAAGAAAAAAAAAAAAAAACACTTAAAACATTCCCAATTTTATAATGGATAATTTTAGTGAAATCTAAAATTGGTGCTTATGTGGTCAGTCAAGAACTTTTTCACTCAGCTCAGCCGTCTTTTAAATGGACTTTTTTTTTCTTTTTTCAAGCTGGGAAATGCTGGCAGGGCAGTCTATGGCCAGCTTTAGACTCCTGATCGGGTTCAGGGAGTGGGATTGATGTTCGCAGTAGCTACAAATCACTTTACTATACATCAGGAAACTGTAGCAAGGCTTTTAGAACTCCTAATTCCCATAGAAGTAAGATTTTTTTATTTTTTTTTTTTAATATTAAATCTATATAAAATATGCTAATCCATACAGAGACTACTTTCTTGGTAACTGCATGCCTCTTAATTTTGAAATATTAAAACTTTTTGAGTGCACAAAACAAATCCATCTGTTCGCAAATGCCAGACGAGCAGTGGGACTCCCTGAAAGGGTTCCACTTGTACGGGTACCATGGCTAAGTGTTTGGAATCGACTGTCACACTCTATTTTTTATGTTTATTCCAGAAGGCAGCGCAAAGATGATGCGTACAGCGCAGTGATCTCTTTTAGCCAATCAGATGTCAGATTGTTGTGTTCAGATAAGTGCTGTATTGCCTTCTTAAAGGGAGCCTGTAAGGTTGCATTTTGTTCAACTTTTCTGTGTTTTTGAATTTCCCCCTTTCTAGCACTGCAGCCTTTGTAAGCCTTTTGGTATTCTACACTTCCAGGAGAGTCAGATGACTGTGGTCCCATCCTCAGACTCCTATGTCAATGCTGACCAGGGGGTGTCTCTTCCAGAGAGCCCCTTACCTAGTACTCAGTGGCCGGCTTTGGCTGACCATAAGGAGAGGGGTCCGCCAGTCCTTTTAGCTAGGCAGACCACAAGTAGGCCTTGCCCCTGTCGGGAGCCTTGCGGGGGAGTTAGCGTAAGGTCCTACCCTCTTTGAGAGGTGGACTACAGACACACCCTTAGACTAGGTTAACACTTGTGAGGCTCTGCAAGCCACATTTCCTGCAGGCACAGCAACCCATTCATTTAATTGGGCTGCTGTGCCTCCTGAAAAAGCAGAGAAAAGGTCCCTGCAACCTTTCCGAAAATGTGGTCCGGTAGGAATTCACAAATGCAATGTGGTTCCCAGCGCGGGAAACTGCACTGTGCTTTCCAGTATGTTGGGTGCCATTCGCATTAATGGCACTTCCAACAACCACCCGCAGGAAAAAACATGCTGCAGTTTAGGAGATGCATGGAACAGGTGCAGTCCCGCAGCGGCAACCACCTGCACCAATGTGCACTTCTTATTTTGTGTGTTTTTCACGTGCAGATTTTTTCACTTACATGTTCTGTAGTAATGTAGGGGTTGGAGGATGAAACCATATCACTGCTTCAGGGATTTTAAGATCTTTTCTATTGCAAGGATCATTTATTTGCAAATCCTTTTAATCCGGCAGGTTCACTTTACACCAGAAGCCAGTACAGATCCAAAAAAAAAAAAAAAAAAAAAGGATGTAGACCTTGGATTAGCAGAAGTAACGGCAAATCCTCTCCAGTGGCCAGCTGTGACTCCATATCTGCTGGCTTATACAAGAATACAGACACAGGTTTATTTTACAGAGCTGATTATTCCAGATGTTTTAATCAGAACTGACTTGGGTACCCCAACTGGTGCGCCCACCCAAAGGATTTGCTGAGCCCTTTCAGCAGTACTTGCTGAGTTTTGTTCAATCACCGGGATGCTCACTGGGCACGTGCACAGGTATGCTAACCACTGTACCGGCCCTGCATACAAGCCAAGCTCCGTTCAACTACCTCTGTCAGTAAAGCAGAGCTAAGAGCTGCGATGGGGTGACAAGTACATTCGTCCACTATAATACTGTCAATGTTGCATTCGATGGCCCTTGACTTTTAAATAAACCGCGTTCTAGGACAGCGATGCTTTGATTTTTACCAGTGATCCCCTAGGGCGACCCACTGCGCTCAGCCCCATTGTGTCATCTACACTGCCCATTAAGATTTTGGACTACATAGGATTTTTCCCCTGTTCCTGGCGCTGCAAAATATTATACCTGTGAATAGTAAGGGTGAATGCAGTTGCATCTAGGCACATGTGCCTGTATTCAGCCTTTGCTGTAAATATGGACCATGGAGTTTGGCTCTCACAAACACAGAAGTGATGTACAATGTCCTTTCCACTGCTGGCCAGATCCAGCCAAAAACTTTTTTGTAATAATAATGTGGTAGGGGTAAGAACCTCCTAGTAAGGTGGTAGAACCTCTGTGTTTTTATTACTGTCTGTGTACACATAAATTAGATTTCCCCTTACTACTTATCCAGCTGATGTTTGTCAAACCAAACAGGAAAAGAATTATAGCCCATTCACACTATTGCGGCAATGTGTTGGTGCGATTCCATTCATGCTGCATGGCACCCCAGTGCATCGTGCTGCCAGTTGTGGATTGTGGCACAGTGGGGCACTCACAGATGTTGCATCGGGCTGCCAGATATAGTACCTGCACAATTTTCGGTGTGTTGGCAGCCCATTCAGTTGAATGAACAGCCTTAACACAACCCGCATTAAATAGTAATAAACTCTCAGCGGTTTATAGCTCAACACATTAAAATATTAACATTAAAATTCTTACCGCAGCACTTGCAGTCACCTTTCAAAGCTGATCATTCTTGTTCTTTCAGTGCTGCTTCCCTGAGTTTCTGGTCTTCAAAAGAAAGCGTTCATCATGGACAGCGCAGTCTCTAGTCAGTCTGTTTAGATAAGGGAGGAGCAAGGAATGCCCTTTTTTCCCTAGGCTATGGGGCTGTGTGTTTCTATTGATGCACACAGTGGAGGGAGACACAATTTTAA